GGGGGGTTTCTGACGTACAACAATTATATTATGGAACCTTATGGAATCAAATCTGGAATCAACCTAAGTTTCTTTTAAATTTTATATCGACCTTGACTACATTTGGAATTCTGTTCCAACCTAAGTCGATTCTAAACCCACAATAATTCTGATCCCACGTACAACATATATATTAGGGGTGTCGCTGACCGCGATGGAGAATAATATATGTTTGGAGGATATCTAACGAATTTAACGATAACAAGCTCTTATTCTATGTATAATGACATGAATATATTTGATCCGAAATCGATGAAATGGAAAATGTTGAATTTCCCACTCCACTTTCTCGTATATATTATAGTGTTGCGCTGAAAGATAATCTTATATTTTATATTGGCGAGGAAGGTGAAATTATTGTTTATGATTTAAATGAGGTATTTGTGATTTACATAATTAGCGTTAGTAAAGTTTCGATTTATATACTAATTGAATTAAATCAAGTAGATTCAAGTATTTGACACAAGTGGTTGTCTATGGTATGTATGTACACATGATATAATAATGTTAACGAATTTTAAATTAATATAACATTGTTTTTCTAGACGACTCGTGGCGATTCAATTGCAGCTCGTTATAGACATTCAGCTGTTTTAAGTACATGCTTTAATAAAAATAGCTAATTGTTTATTAATTATAAATATTAATTATTTAAAGTATTATTATAATTTTTAAACAGCACGATATGGACTCATTGTTATTTATGGCGGGTTAGGAGTCAATAACAATCAGCCACAACCTAATGTTGCCCTCTGTTAAATGTAAATACATCACAGTATACGTGGACGGCTATTACAAATATGCACCACAAGCACTTGCGTCTCATTCAGCAATATTATATGGAATATATATTATTGTTGTATATTATTTTTATCCGAATTTAATTAACATCCACATCGCTGATATTTAATAATAATATATATATATTTAATACACAAAATTATTCATGGGTTAACACTTTTGATGTATCAAACGTATATGGAACAAACCCTGACACTAAGAAAGATTCAAGCGATTCAATTTCATTGGCGCAAAGATTGGTATTGGTATAGGTGTATTGGTTGCTCTTATTCTCATAGGGGTTGCAGGAATTTTCATCTATAATAAAATTCATCTTACGATGATCGTCATTCTATTGCAACTCCTGGCTCGTCATATACAGAATATACAGAATATACAGAAAAGAGGTTTTATAATATTTAAATTACTATCTCTTTAAATACGCACTCAAGTTCTGGATAAAATATACTTGCTCCCCATAAATAAATTTTTCATATTTTCTAAATACATATTATTAAAAGTTCGGTCTCTATAGAATGCATATAGAGATCTGATGTATATAATTTCTTTTATAATTATATACAATATGGGTAATTATTTTTGAATCCAGATCAAAATGTTATTTTTTATCATATCGATGCATATAAAATTGGTCCGGGTTCAAAAATAATTACCCATATATGATGACATTGTTACCAAAGATCTTTGCATTATTTTTTATTATTCTTGTAATAATTTAAAAAAGATAATTATTCTTTAGATTACCAACATCACTATGTCCACATATCACATGTATTTTCTAAGAATGTCTATTATCTGTTTACGTCTATGTTGAAAAGATTAATTTACGCATAAGTCAAAAAATATTTTGCATATATGTATGTTCTATTGCGCTATAATTATTATAAGTGGCGCATTTATTAATTCAATATTTCTTGTTTTAAATAAAGAAGCTGAAATTATCGAATTCTACAAAGTTGTAACTATATACGATGGGTGCTGCCGGCATTTTAATAAGAATCCTAAAATTCCGATCAGTCACCCATTATATAACGTAATTTTGATCAAAAGATCTTATATGCATTGTCCTCGGTCTTAAGCCCTGTTCGAACCGGTCTTTTTGAATAGTTAACTAGTACATGATCATGTGGCGGCTTCGCCGCCAACTAATAATTAGATATAACAGTATATGGTATTAATAGACA